ACCGGTACTGGGAATATCGTAAAGCCAGTCCGCTTGGAGATTGAGACCTCAACTGAGGATCGATCCCAGAGTTGCATTCCGTCGAAGTGTCGAACACCTTGTGTAATTGCACCAAACTAGAAGTTCTTCTTCAATCCATATCTGCACTCCGAATTGGCCTGCAAAACCCCAAGTGAGTACTCTAACTAGACACTCCAATACTTTAAGTGAGCAATAATCAGAGTTATTTTAGAGCGGAGATAAAAAGAGTTTAGAGTTAATTTCAATTACTTTTGTGACTGATCCTGAGGGTATTTATAAGCTCCAATAAGAAAGCCACGTGGCATGCTTAACAAGATAATTAAAATCTGACGTGTTTATCCAAATGATTATTTTGAAATTGAGAATTTGAGAGATATTCAAAGGAAGGATGTTCATCATAACTGCTGTTGTGCAGGTCATCATAAAAAATACTTATTGTCACTATCATGTAGGTGTTTGAGCGAAAAGTTTTGAATTTATTTTTTACTTCGATCATAAAAAAATTACTGTAGTAGTCCGAGGCTGGATACCTCGGACCTATCCTTACAACTTGTAATCTTCTTCATTGGGTTCAGTATTTTGTTGGCGTTGTTAATTGGGGAGGCAAATGGGTCTTAGAGATTGAAGCAACTTCAAAGATTCAAGCTTTGAAAGCGCTTCTTCTACCCACTTGTCCCAGGCCCTCTCCCCCATTTCCAGTTTCCCGTACAGGAAAGCTACCACCTAAAGTCCAAATTAAAGCTTCCATTTTCTAAAGTAGTTGCAGAGTTTGGGGAAAATCTTTTTTATGTCGACCAACTTTACATGGAATTTCCTTTTGATCCTCAATATTTTTAAGATCCATATCGAGGACTTAATTGATTCAAACAAAAAATAATGAAATTTATTTTATTTGTTACGAGAATTTTTTTTTTATGTCCCCATTAATTTTAATTCTTTTAACCCGATATTGGTATAGGGTTGGACTTTTGAGAAAGGGCAGAAGATAATGGATTTTAAATGAATAGCAACAAATTGTAATTTGTAAGATGATGGGGATGATGGTTTTGTATTCTTCTCAAAGTCCAGCCAATTAGACAACAAGAATCATCATCTCTTCCATTACAAACTTGCAGAAGGACCACACTATCTTTTATGTGTTATTTTTCATCATTTTTATATTAAAAAAACGTGTTAAAATTATGTAAAATTTAAATTGTAAATCCCTAATTGTTTTTTTAAGTATAAAATTTTATTATTAAATAAAGTGTAGAGGTCAAGGGGCATTACACCCAAACCCTCAAAATACAACTAACAAGAAGCATTGCACCTAGATTGTCAACTCAATTGGCTAAAGGATACACTCTTGAAGTTTATGAGCTACGTTTGAATCCTCACTCTTCTATGAGGTATAAGCATTTTAAGGACAAAAAAAAAAAGTGGTGGCATTAATTAAAGCCCATGCCTAGCGGAACTGAAAAAGGTCAGGCATGCAACCACAAAATAGCCAACTACAATGCGGACAAGATAGTCAATTCATGGCTTTTAATAAGAATGATGCCATTTCTATATTTTAAATTATAAAATAAAAATTATGAAATAAAAAATAAATTTTTATTTAATAATTGAGGTTATACAATTTAAATTAAACAATAATTTTAAAAAATTAAAATAACAAAATTCATGGCTAGCCGGGCTGTGGTTTTACAAAAGCCATGCCTTGTTCGTTTGGGTTGACAAATATTTTGTTTTTTTTTTTTTTTTAACAAAGACAACCATAGGGGAAAGGGAAAATGAGACTGTTTATAGGCTAAATGAGTTAAGTGCAAATATTCAAGTAATTAATAAGATTTAAATTCTCAATCAATTTTATTGAAGTACTAAAATTTGATAAAGAATTATTAAATTTCAAAAAATCAGTTCAAATATTTTGTTAGTTACATTTACATTGCACTGAAAAGTGATCCTTCAATC